GAGGAGAGCCCCCTACAGGCAGAGCACTGTAGTAACAGGCTTGGGTTAACTACAGAAAATGGTAGATTGTGTATAGACCTGGCCTCTCTAATCGCCTCCTTGTGAGCCTGGAACATCTTGACGTTATTCATGTTGGACTGCCAGTACTTCACGTAACCTCCATGGTCGGCAGTCAACATCCACATGTCATTGTGAGACCAGGTCATTGCCCTGACAGGGCTATCATGAGCCTATGAGAGAAACAGAAAAAGGGATAATTAGATAAGGACCTTTTAGCAAGATTCTGAGGTTGTGATGTAAGGGTGGTGTGCCACAAATCTAAAATATGGTCTCTGGTTACCTGAAGAATTGTCTCGAAGTTAAATGTGAGCCCATTCCATAAAGTAAACTCCCCACTGGAGGCACCCGTTACAAGTCGCCTGCCTTCAGGAGTCCACTATAAGAAGGCAAGAAAAGGGTAATGAAAGGTTTAGAAAAACCAAAGGAGTAGGCTGTATATGGGTTATATAGCGAAATGACGCATTTCACACAAAGCATCAAATCAAAAGCTTAACACTTACCCGCACAACAAACACAGGGCATTTGACTTTGTTGGTCGAGGTTCTGACAAACTTTGTTGTAACAGCATTCATAGGGTTATTAAGCATACCAACTGGAGGAACAAGCTGCAAAAAAAAGTATGAGAAATATATGAACTTGAAGAATAAACATGATAACTAAGCAAAGTAGTAGTAAAACATACATCATTGTAGCAGCCTGCATCTGGTTGAATAGCACGGAAATCTCGATGATCTCGTTGCCACAATCGATTCTGAAATGGAGTAATTTGCCAGATGTTACATTTGCCAGATGTTACACTGCCACACTCAGTTACATTTTGTAAGGCTTATACCTCAAGATATCTGATGACAGATGGATTGTAATCAATGGTCTTGCGGTTCACAGCTTTCCTCATGCGCTTGCCATCGAAAGTGAGCTGCTGCATAGCCTGCTGCTGGGCAAAGTCCGGCCTCTTGTAGAACAGCTGACGAGGTGCCTGGTGCTGGAACCGAGGCATATGGAAGAACCGGGGAGGTGAGCCAATATCTGTTGCCATAGTGACGGTTTTGTAACAGCTGAGGATGTGAGGAGTAAGAAATTTACGATGAGTTTAGGGTTTATTACACTGGATCACTTTAAATGAACACAAAACAACCAATTGCAAAGGTCAAGAAAAAGAAACAGAAGACACAGAAACATAAAAGACATTAACAAATTAGTGTAGTCAGCAATGGCTATTTACGGGTTAAATGTGCCAATATTTCAAACCACTTGGGAGCATTAAAACAACACTCTATAAGTGGTTTGAAATATTGGCACATTTAACCTGTAACTTTTTTTATGGTTAATAAGTTTGTTCCCAGAATCCAAAACTAAATTGCAGCAACAAATTAATAAAATAAAATAAAAAAAAGAGTAGGCCATCGATTGGCAAATAAGAAACATCTCTAATTCTACTGGGCAAGAAACTGGCTACATTACATAAGTGAACCTGAGCATAACTTAAGCATCAAATTAATAAGACATCGTAATTAATCAAAACAGTTCTTCGGGATGTGAAAAGTGTGTTTAGGAGGAATAAACAGAGTAATCAAGTGAAAATGGATGACAGACCACAAAGGGTAAAATCCTTTGTAATCATTATAAAGAAATTCTTTATCACAATTATACATTGGTTTCCATAAAAAGGTGCTCCAAATGCCAGCTGAGGCATGGTGCAAGCAATATCAAAGCAAACCCAAGCTGAATTTAAAAGCTTTTTCCAGATTAATGGACAGGATAATTTTACATGTCAGAGAAATTACATACATATTTATTGATGTTGAGCATCTGGAACCACAGCGTAAAATACCTTTAAAAGCATCATGCTTTCCACAGTAACACTTCAAAATTAATGAAATAGAGAAGCATCTAAAACAGCTTTGGTTCTAATTTAGGCATATGTAGTTTAAAGCATTGACAGCTAAATAAATTTACCTAGTATAACTTAATGTTCCAAAAAAAAAAAAAAAAAAAAACATCAGTTGAAAAAAACATGGGCACATAAAAATGGAATTACATCAGTGACTGATTTTTATGGTACCAAGTGCACCTAACAGGTTCAACACCATGTATAGGACATTTCATTGTAAAAGCAAATAACTAAATTCAAAATCACTAGTTATATTTAGTTATCAAACCAGGTATAATTCCCTGTGATTTTAAGTAAATGTGTTTAAGTTGTAATTAGTATGCAATAAATACATAGTATGTAATAATTAGTATACAAATGTTGGCGAACAATTATTATTGAAATTTAACTCCTAAAAAGCAGATATACATTGCACTCTAACATTTTGTTTACACACATACTGATAAAAAATGTATAGCCTGAATGCACTGTAAGTCGCTTTGGATAAAAGCGTGTCCTAAATGCATATATATAAATATATCAATATATAAATCAATCAATCCATAAATATATATATACATATATATATATATATATATACACACACACATGTATTTGAGGGTGTGAGACATCACAGAGCAACAAAATTGCACCATAGACAGAATAGCCGTTGTCCCTTCAGGAAAAAACAAAACAAAAAAAACTTCTGGAGCAGTGATTCTCAACTGGTGGGTCGCAAGTAAACAAAAATTAGAGATATGAGGGGCATACTTTTAGAGAAATTTTGTCTTAAAATACAATAACCAACTTTGTTACTTGCACTGTAAAACGTGATAATGTAGTCAATAACTTAAGAGGCATTATTACCTGATTTGCTCCTTAAATTTAGCCTACATTTATTGGTGTAACAATGTTGTCAGGTTCAATGTAAAATTTGGGACCAGAACCAAAACCAATTGGGAAGCACTGTCCTAATGTACTCGAACCCCTTAAAACGTATGCAAATTATTAATTTGTGAGGAGGGAGAGAAAAGGGGAAAAAACAAAACAAAAAACAATGCAAATTCAAACAGTACCCAGTACTTCTGTACACAAGTAATCAGCCCCTCCATTAGCACTAAGGTTAATGATTAAAAAAAAACAAAAAAAAAACTTGTACTTAAGATGAAAAGTGAGAACATATTTTATTATCAGTATGACTAAACGTGTATTCGTCATAGATGCAGTATATAAGGTTTCATTTAAACTATTTTAAGAGTTAAGTCGATGCTGCTGCATTTCTGAAAAATTACTGAATTTAAGAGCTGTTAATGGAAAACATATCGTACATCCTGTGCAGTTGTGCACTTTCGCAAATACAATACGACTCGACTTGAAATGTTCGACATAAAAACGTTATTTGGGTAACATTGAGGGGGTTGTGAATGCCAGAAAAACATTTATGGGAATTGTTTAATGTATTTCTTAGATGGCGTGTTACACACCGCACTCACGTAATAACGCAGAGCTCAATTTCAAACATACTAAAACTAAAACACACGAGTCAATTATTGAAGACATTTATCTCTTAAATTTAGACGCTAAAACAAAACTTGAATTGGCGACTAATGCATAATTTATACCTGTAGTTTCTTATTCGAGGTCGACAAATGTCCCTCTTCAGTTCGAGGTCTGTTAGCCTTTAGCCAGCTAACACAATAAATACCTGATGCTACCACAGGCCCTCACAAACAGGACACATTTTCACAGTCTACCAGAATAAGAACATAATCTCCTTAAAATAAGCGTGTTTATTTGAGTGCAGAATCTATTCGCTGAAGCAGATAGCTGTGTGCTGGCTGTAAGAGTGGGTAACGTATTTCTTTCCTGTCTCCCGCACAGCGTGTTTAAATGGCGCCTGGTCAATACTCGAGAAACTCACCCAAAATATCCAGTGCTGAGTCTATTAACCTAAATTTAACACACGACTCTTCCTTGTGGAGACTATTGTAATGTCTTTCTGAAAATTAAATGTCAACTATCTCCAGAGTGCGCGTTAATTCGCTATTTTTCGCGTTTAATTAACCCCCTGCCTCCATCTCGAGGCTTCCGCTCTTCTCTTTGCTTGGAACTCCGAAACGACGTCATGACGTCAGACGCATCGGCGGGAGAACTGCGTCACTCACTGCATGTTTTATTTACCTGTCTGTCAAATGCGGTGGAGAACAAATGTTCTTACATACTACGCATTATTTATAAGTAGTTATATAATTACTACTATTTAATATTGCTTATTTATTTAGTTATTTGTTTGATTATTTGGGTTAGTTAAAGGGGTCATATGATGCGATTTCAAGTTTTCCTTTCTCTTTGGAGTGTTACAAGCTGATTGTGCATAGATAAGATCCCTGAAGTTGCAAAGACTAAAGTCTCAAAACCAAAGAGATATTCTTTATCAAAGTTAAGACTCTGCCACGCCCTCCTAAAATGGCTCGTTCTAACACGCCCCCACATATCTACCTCACTATGTGGAAATATTAGCATAATGCCGCCCAAATGTGCACGCAAAGAAAGAAGGCGTGGTTTCAGTAACCGCAGTTAGTGTCGAAGCAGCCATGTCAGGGAGACGCTGTGTGTTTCTAGGCGAAAGCAAAAGCTCTTTATTTGGCCTTCCTGAAGTAGATGCATTTAGGAATCTTTAAGATTACTTACAACAGAACAGCAATGCATTTTATGGACGACCGTTTCGTGAACCTAGGAGAGGAGGTAATTCTGACTTTGCTATGACAATCTGGTGCTTCTGAATCAGCTACTGTTTTGTTATTATTTTAAGTATTTGCTATTGACTGTTCAAATGCCGAGTTTTGCGCATCGTGTATGTGTGCGCGCGCGCGCGAGCGAGCGAGAGAGCGGTGTGTGTGTGTGTTTGTGTGTGTGCGTGCGCGTGAGAGAGAGAGAGAGAGAGAGAGCGGTGTGTGTGGAGAGAGAGAGAGGGTCACATCACAAACACGCGGATAAATGATTCAACTGCTGAATTGTTTGGACTGTAAAGGCCAAACAGTTTTTTTTTTCAGCGACAAAACGTCAGCATAGACATAAAAATCTAGATTGGGTCAACTGTATGTCAAGTTATGGGTTTCAAGCAATGGTTTCAAGTAACAGAGCTATTTTTAATCATATGGTTACTGAAGGAGAGGAAGGCGATTATTGGCATAAATGGGCGGGGTAAATTGGCTGCATGTGCGTTCACTGCACGTTTTTCCTGTCATTGGGACTGTTGTGGCGGTCAGGATGATGAAGCTCTGACATCCTTTTCGAGGATCATCCCCATGCCTAATCTGCAGGTCAGAATGGTTTCTTAATCTGAGCTCAATGTTTATGTCGTGTTTTGAATGAGGGTGGAAGACTAAGCATATCCGCGCTGTTAAACATGGTGTTGGAGCATGCCCAATGAACAATTTCAATACTTTACCCTACATTCAGGTTACTGTACAAAAGTGTTGTTGCCTTTATTATTTGACCTGTGTGTGTATTTGTTCTAAACAAATAATGTTCTCTCCTCTCTTATTTAATCAACTGTGAATGTGGGACCCAGTGGACCTGTGATTATAATGATTATTCAATACTTATGATGTTCCTTCAAGATACACAAACATATAGTCAAATATATGCAAGCATATAGTTAGAGATGCTGCAGTTAAGCACAGTTACAGACTGTCTGCTGATCAGTAATGCCCAATCAGCCTGTAACAATTAACTTATCCAGAAGGAGGAGGTCACTCTTTGTATTAATGTTTCCAAGCAGCAACCCTTTCCCTCTATGCAGGTAAGCACTTTGCGTGTACCTGTATATGATGACCCTCAAGAAGACCTGTACAAGTATTTTGACCGCTGTGCTGATGCCATAGCCAGTGAGGCAGAACGGGGAGGGACTGTTGTGTACTGCAAGAATGGACGCAGTCGCTCAGCTACTGTCTGTGTGGCCTATTTAATGAAGCACCAGGGTCTCACCTTGACAGATGCCTTCCAGGTATGAATAGTGTTTATGTCAAATTGAAGTCTGATATGAAACAGTTCTAGTCAGGACACATGCATCTTATGCGTAATTTCTTTTTAAATTAAAGTTTTTTTAATAGGTATTTGAAACTTTATTTATATGTGCAGTCATTAATTCTTTTTCTTGGTTGCTGATATTTTATTGGTTTATATTATAATAAGGAAAAGCAGACATATAGGCAGCAAGGTAAAACGAAACGAAACAAAACTATAATATATAATGAATATAAAATGCACAAAATAAAGGCAGCCACAAGACATCAAAATATACATCACTCATATTCTAATCATTACTGAATGCAGCCTAATTGATCATGAAAAGCCACATCATTCTAGATTTTTATGCCAGAATTTAATGTTGTTTACTACTTCTGTAGTTCCTATTTCTCTTCTGTAATTTCCATTTGTTCTATCAGGTAGTAAAAAGTGCCCGATCAGTAGTTGCGCCTAACCCAGGATTCTGGACTCCGCTGGAGCGAAATGAACAGGAGCTGAAGATCAGGAGGTCGGCCAGCCACAGATCTAACCTCTCTCCACTTTAACTTCATACCAACATTTCCTGATATGACATTCTCAAACTTCAGGGCTTTATAATAAGTCTTTAGTCATGTCGCTCTTCAAGCTTGCTGCAAATAATTAATACCTTATAATAACAATAATAACGATATGTGATTTAAATGATTATAAAAATGTGATAATACTATTATATTTTAAAATAAAAAGGGAGTATTAAAAATAAAATTATTTTATAGTAAAATGCCCGAAATCGGAGGCAAATCGGTGCTCGTTCACGTGAGTGACAATCACGCAGTGTGAATTATCAAAGACGCGATCTGAGGGAATATCTGGAGCTGTCGGCGATTCACAATCACGCTGTGTGAAATGAGTTCTGACTGAAAAACACATCGGCGATGACCTATAGCCAATGAGAGACCAAGATACAGGGCAGCGGGAAGTTCGGGGAGGAGTTATATGAAACGTAGTTTGCGGACCAGTGTTGCCAAATCCGCGATTGCCGCCGGTTGTTTTTTATGTCAGCAGGTTGAAGCGACCCCAATAACGTGATATTTAGGCCCTGGAATGTGAATTGTGCCAGGAGAACCCCGCCAAAAAAATGTGTATTTTAAGTGTAATGTGTATTCGGCATAAAGAGCACTGGGCTTTGGTATTTTTAAGACCTGGGACAGTCTTGCGCACTTACTTCCTGTCGCGCGCACGCGCTCTCAAGTGGCCGCAAGTGTGGGTATTTGGGCAAGGGGATAGTTTTGCGCTGTTCTTTGAAAACGGCAGCGGATAGCCTATAGATTACTTTTTCATTTAGAAAGAAATCTTATAAGGTACAGTTTGTCGATCTAAATATTATTTATATTTGCCATTTATATAAATTATATAAATATTATTTATATTTACCATTTGGATTATATATGTGTTTACAAATTATAGGTTATATAAGAAATATAATCATGATAGGCCTATATGTAGAAATATAATCATCATATGTACCACCCTACATTTTGACCGATTTTAGGTTATTAAAGCAGGATTAGGGCTCCTAAGAAAGCCTTTTTCTGCTAACCTTTTTTTTATTATCTTTTTTTCAGAGGCATCCCTTTTAGAAAACCTCCAAATTGCTAGAAGCATCACAATTATACATTACCCTCCTAAATAATTGTTATCTCAGCAGGATTTTATTTCATTTAGGCTACATAGAAAGAACAGAGAAATACTTAAATATTTTATATAAATGCAGCACAAAAAAAAAAACACGAAAGCAGTTCTTCAACTTTACCCTTCCATAGAGAGGGTATTCATCAAAGTAATTGTAAGCTTTTGTATGAAAGAGTCCATTTAAAATTTTGTTTGTATCTCTCTATTTCCTTTTTCTATAAAGTATTCCTTTACTCAGTATAATGTTGTTTTGAATTTGAATTATGTTAGATCTGTAATTGTCCATTCTCAGGAATGTCCCCAGTGCATGTTTTCTGATGCAGTTGTATGCTTTGCTGTATTTCGCCGCTGTCAGGTTAAAAACTAATATAAATTCATAAAGGTCATCCCAAAATTTCTTAAATCGTTTAACAAATCTAACAAGAACTGTATTTTAGCATGTCTTAAATAACATTTATATGTTAAGTCCTGTCTTACAGTATTTATTATTCTTTTGTGTTACCCAATAGAGGAATCAAATAATGGGACTATGAAAGTGTGTGTTCATTTTATAGCCTCATTAAAACATAATGTGTAACTTTTGTCGACTTTATTTACTGACAGCATTACTTTTCCAAACATGCAGATAACAGGAAAATAAGAGCAGTTTTAATTAATGTGTTTATTAAATGTCAATTTCTATACACCAAAGAGCTATAGGGAGCACACTGATTTATATTTTCTGTAATAGGCAAAACAGGGTAGACGGGTAGGGGTCTAAACTTTATCCCACCCCTGACGAACGCTATCTATCCAGTCCAAATAGCTGGACACTTTGGTGTAGATGCCAAGTTTGTCTTTTTGCCCGCAGCCTTCTCCCCAGGACACCAGACCTACGAGGAACCATGTATCATGAAACAGTGTCATCATTGGACCCCCACTGTCCCCCTCACAAGCGTCTTTTATTTGCCCCAGCACTCCCCCACAAAGCATGTTTTGAGTAAGGTTGTTCATCATATGCCTGGAACACTCTTTGTTGTCTATAATTGGAATTTCAATGAAGTTGAGAGTTGAACTGTAGCGATGAGCGGTCTCGTTGTCCTTCCCCCAGCCAGTGACGACTGTGACAGTACCGTTACGATGCAACATTCGTTCGGCCAGGTTCTGGCTAGGGAGGCATGCTGGGAGTATGTATGTGGAAAATTTGGCTGGTGTAGCCAAGTGCAACAGAGCTATATCATTGTCCACAGTGAAAGGGTTGTATTGTGGGTGGGCGATAGATTGTTTTACAGGAAGGGTCATCTCAGATCCTTCAATCCTAAATCGGTCGTAGTCACCTGGAGAGATGGCCATACAATTAGAATTCAAAGCCAGAGAGTGTTTATGGATGGCTATGTTTTATGATTGGTTAAAAAAGGAAGGCTGCTTCCTTATTCATTTGTTGTTGTTTTTTTACAGAGACTAGGACTGTCACAGAAACAAAGTGTAATTTCTCAGGATTCTTTCACTGCTATCTGTCAAATAGTTTGGGCACCATGAGTGGAATTAATACGCTTTTTAAGGGAACATAACACTGTATCTAGATTGTCTTTTGGTATTTCTTTTCACTTGAGGCCTAAGCTTAGTAAACAACATCACTCTAAGCTGTGTTCTAGCACTTTTTTTGTGGCAAATTGCTTTAGTAATGCATCTTCTAAAATCTCAAATATAAGGGAGGATAAAAAGCCTTACACTGTGAAGGAATACTTAAATTTTTTATCAAATTGTCTTACATACCCAGCCTGACAGCGAACCTTGTACTTTTCTCTAGGCAGTGAGCAGCAGTGAGAACCCAGTTTTCATCAATCAGAACTCCACCACAATGAAACGTGCCCAAATGATTGAGTATAAGAGCCTACAGAATACACAAAATAATTTGACTGAATATTTGGTATAACATATGATAATTGTCAGGATTCGCTATGATAAAACATTTGGCATTATTAAATATGATTACACAGATATTACAAATGAATCAAAAGTACCTGCCAGGGACTCTCTCCCTTTTTGCCAACTGTACCTCCTATTACCCACGGCTGTAAACCTACTAAAGGCTTATTAATATAAGATGACTTTGCGATCCGAATCTGGCCACATGAAGCCTCACCTGTAAATGACAAAAATGCACATAAATCACAGATTTATCTTCCAAATGGTAGAAATTATATGAAGATAATTTTTTATATTTTCATATAATTTTTAATGAAGATATATTTATAACAATATCAATTATATGACTATGTTAATCAGCCCACATTTGTGAATAAATGTTGCACAAAGACAGTCTTATAAATGTCAACAAATGCAGATGTACAGTCTCGAATACACATGCAAATATCTAAGCATTAATTTGTGCACTGTGGATACAAAATCACCAGTGTAAAAAAAATCATCAGTGTATTTGCAATAAGCACAAACTGTATTGTTTATATTTGCATTTTGTTGAGGTAACTTACTTTTGGCAATACATTTTCTAGAGTTGTCTTGTAGTTGGTATCCTTTAATACAACTGCATGTGCGAAAAAGACCACCCTCACTATCGTGACATTCATGATCACAATCCCCATTGTTCACAGAGCAGTTAGTGGCTGTTCTGCCTGAGGACAAAACCAAAGAACTGCTGTCAGGACATTTATCACCATGACCTCAACACACACCACTGCTCTGTAACTCATGACATCCAATATTAAATGCCCCAAATCAGCTGTGACACAGCTTACCTAAAAACACTGACCAAGCAGACAAAATGCAGGAAGGGCAAAGGGATTCATTAACACCAGTCATTGAGGTTAAATACATTATAACTCATCTATCTATCTATCTATCTATCTATCTGCGCCTGATTGTTTCTCATACACTGAGCCAGAAATCTTATTAGTAGCACTTACATACACCTTTCCAGTTGTATTGCTATCTGTAAATTTGATTTTTTTTGTTCATTTTTCATTCACCTGATTTATATTACATTTTATTCCTAAAAACAGTGGAATTAATGGATTTATGATAACAATACATATCCAAAATCCCATTTGTGAAAACCTTTTACTTTTAATATGTATGCAAAGTGAAACAAAAAGTTTTATTAGCTTCAACTAATATTCAGATATTCGTGCTGGGAATTTATGATAAGTAATGCATATTTAATTAGATAATTCATATTTAAACATTTCAGAAAACATCAGCAGAAAGGTTTAGGTTTCAATCAGGTCTAACAAGGTAACATTATGACTTAAATACTTAATAATAATAATAATAATAATAAATATAGCTGTAAGCAGTGATGACGAGCCTAAGCCCAGGTGGCTTCACGAAAACGGTGCAGAGTGGGAACATGCATTTAACCGTCTTTCAGTGAAACCCCATTTTCAATGAAAGGGTTACTCTAGAATACCAAGAGTGTGAAAGAGACACACACGCACACACACACACACACACACACACATAGGGACAGGGAGGGATCAAAGGTTACATTTGAGACTGTTACTAGTGAGTTGAGCCCAAAGACTAAACTAAGAGGATGAAATCAGATAGCGAGAAAGATACAGATCTTATACAGCTTTTAACATTCCAAACAACAAGAAATCTAAACTTTAAAAATAAATGAACAAACAAACAAATATATATCCAAATGCAACATGTATAACTGCATATAATTGTCTGGAAACACAGTTCTTAAAAAAACTCCACAACCTTTTCAAATATTTATAAATAGGGTTATACAGCCATTTAGTAGTTAATCAATGGTATTACATTTTATATTATTTATTCCTTTCCATCTAATAGCACAACTGTCAACATGTTAGAAAAGACAACATATTAGAAAAAGTAAATAAATCAAAATGTTTTGGGCTGTGGGTGCTTTTGAGCTGGTATGAGGTTACTGTGCTGAGGAGACTGTGCTGTCCTTATGAATTAATTATATGGTTACAGTCTAGCTGCTAGCACATAAACATAATAGGGTGTCTTTATAGAAACATTTGACAAAATATCCTAAAATAGACGTATAAAATTTTCAATGGACAGCAACATATTTAATTGTGTTTGGCAACTTGACAAATATGTTTTCAAAATTAATAGGATATATAAAACTTTTTGTACAACCTTTGTATTACAGCCTTCATCTGTCAGCTGACATGTCTGATAATTTATAATTTGCTGTTAGGCCCCATAGCATCAGCAATTTAAGAAACTAAGCATGTTTTCTCAGAATGACTTATTCTTCATATGTAAAAAGTTTTGAGGAGTTTGAACAATGCACTTTAAAGATAGGCTAAAAGACAAGTCCTGTTTATTTTTTTGCTGTTTCTTTAAAGGGGTCATATGATGCTTTTTTAAAGATCATTATTTTGTGTATTTGGTGTAACAGAATATGTTGACATGCTTTAATGTTCAAAAAACACATTATTTTTCAAATACTGTACATTATTGTAGGTCCTCTATGCCCCGCCTCTCTCAAACGCTTCGTTTTCTACAAAGCCCCCTCCTTCGTGTTAGAACGAGCCGTTTTAGGGGGGCGTGGCAGAGTCTTAACTTTGATAAAGAATATCTCTTTGGTTTTGAGACTTTAGTCTTTGCAACTTCAGGGATCTTATCTATGCACAATCAGCTTGTAACACTCCAAAGAGAAAGGAAAACTTGAAATCGCATCATATGACCCCTTTAATAAATCACCATAGCAATACAGTTTGAGATATTCAAAAACTCTTTGCAATTTATGTTCCTCCATGTTTTAGCATCATCTTGCCAAAGTTTGTTGTAAATTGTATGACAGAATTTGGTGGAGTATAAAGAAGAATTTTAAAGTTTGACGCATTGCCATGGCAACAGTATTTAAGATATCAAGAATCCCATAACAGTTTCACATCTGCCGGGTCATGACATTATTTTGATGAAGTTTGAAGCAAATCAGGTAAAAATAAACAAATTTTGAAAACGAAAAACTTCCTGCTGCCAGTTGGTGGCACTATAACTTTGACTTAATAATAGTCACATCTACACTCTAAAAAACACAGGGTTAAAAACAACCCAATTTGGGTTGTTATTAACCCAAGGGCTGGGTAAATATAGGACAGAACCCATCTTGGGTTAAATTTACCCAGCAAATTGGGTTGTTTATTTAACCCAGCATAATGGGTTTATTCATTTTTACTATATTACTAGCTTATTTTTTTACTTCATACATTAAATAATGTTTACAGATTAACTTAAATCCTCTAAACTTTTCTAAAATACTCCACACAACCACTGGTTTGCATGTTCCATCACGCACTCATTAAAGGTGATTCACACCGCGCGCCTGTATGTTGCTCTGCATAAAATTTAACTATATACAGCACAGTAACGATTTTATAGTTAAAATAAAATGTACACAAACCTGTATTTTAGAAGAACCCGAAGAATGCATCAATTCGATGGCGCTTAGAACTGCTCTCTCCTGAAGTGAAGACGCAAAATCCCCGAGATAAATAACTCAACCGCTGGGTTACGTCTGACCCTGGATCTGAGTAACACAAAAACTACCCAAACATTGGGTTGTTATGTCTGACCCAGGAGCTGCAAAACAACCCAAACACTGGGTTGTTACATTTGACCCAGGAGCTGGGTAACACAAAAACTACCCAAACACTGAAAAAATAACCCCCAAAAAAGACCCAAAAGGCTCAACCCAGTATTTGGGTTAAAAAAATAACCCAGGATTTTTTAGAGTGTATGTGATCGGCCTCATACATTGAAGAAACGGCTGAAGTTTGATCAAAATCAGACAATGTATGCTGAAGTTATAACACACTTCCTGTTTCCCTTTTCCACCATACATTTTTCGCCTCGCCACTGCCAAACCGATCGAGATATCAAAAATCCCTTCACAATTTTGTATCCTCAATGTCTTTGAGTTTGGTAGGGATCGAATGAAAACCATAGGATGAGTATATCACATTCCAGAGCATGCATTTGTCAAACATTCCACAAAGCCAATTTCCTGTTGGGCAGAGCACTGACTGTTAGTGGTTCAGACTGATGAGATCCATATGTATATGAATTTTGATGACTGTAGGTGAAGCGGTGTGTGCTACAGAGCTTGTTGAAAATGGCCTTATTAAAGGGTGTAACACGGGCCCACTCTGGTGACCCCCCCACATGACCTTCTGCCCGTCCCTGATGGCCGCAGATTCCAATGTATGTGCAAAGTTTCATAAGTTTGAGCACATTAAGGGGCCCAAAATGCCCCAGATAGTGGGATTTAAAAAAGTCCTTAGAAAAACAATAGGGCTCTGTGCCTGCCCTAATTAATACTAACAATTATAATACATTTATAATAATAATGCTAAGAAATATTTGAGATTCTACTATATATATATATATATATATATATATCACTGACCAAATTATGTAAATGTAAATAGCATTTTAACAACTTAAAACACATACTTTTGAACATTTAAATTGCATAAAAAACAAGAGGCTCACGCAGGTCACAGCGTTTCCCTTCAAATCCAGTGTTGCAGGTGCAGGAGTAATCTTGTAACAGATCCACACACTTCCCATGAACACATGGATTGGAGTTGCACTGGTTTCCATCTAAGGGTGCAAAACAACTAATGAGTACCAGTACTTATTATGCTTTAAGCCTTCTACACACTGCATGATTTCAGCAATCCTATAAGATCATTATAAATCACACTGTGCGATAATGGATCTGATACACTTGGGAACGACATGTTTGCAGACTGTATGATGATGACACCTATTGATTCGTACGCCATGAAGCAGGTACTATAGAATAATAAAGCATGATCAGAATGTGCCATTGGTAAACAAAAATAGTATGATGAATCACACTTTGGCAGCTGTAGTTTTTATGTGTGCAGAAAAAAAGTGAAAGCGGCGAAAGAGGAAAGAATAAGAGCTTGAGGTAAACAGTGTTATGTTTTAGCGCCATGTCGCGTTGATTTCATGTCGCATTTTTATTGGTTGTTCAGCGAACGTGGGTCGTAGCAGCAAACACACTGTGCGATGACAATGCTGAATTTCTGACACTGTCAGAAAATTATTGTCGGCTATCTTTGGTCGCAAGACCATAACAACAGCCGTCTTTGAACCTCTCTCACTGTAAGACACATAGGACCCCCGATTAGAAGCCACGAACACAGAAATCGCCACGATTGTTTCATGATGCCAATCTTTTTCTGGGACAGCCGAAAACTGTGCAGTGTGTCTCAGGCTTCAAAGACAGACATAACTAACCTTTATATGCCATCCAGAATTCCAGCTGCAAGAAAAAAAGATCAGTGGATCATAATTTAAGGGGGAAAAAAATGCTAATACAGTAAAAAGCTGACATGACCAACCGTGGCTTCCCTTGTATTAAAGATTTCCCTTGCTTCTTCAAAATCGCACAGTTCCTCCCTACACTCCCGCTCCAACGATGGAGGCTTTATTTCCTCCATAAAAGTGTTGGCTCTTCTTGAACGCAGGAGCATGTGTGCTTTTGGGCTGCTAGAAAATGCTGACCAAAATAGACACAGGGTTGATAAGGCAGAACAATGCACACAGGGTAGATTTCCAAATTGCTTTTAAGCATATTGCGTACTACAAAAACTAAAGGGACAATTCATTAAGAATGAATTGTGTCTGCTGAAAATTCACTCCACCGCTGCTGTTGTTTTTGAGTACTTTCAAAAATGGTTTGCCAGCTTCTGTTGTTTATCATTATTTGATAAACTAATGCTGCCAAATATCAATCAATCAATCAATCAATCAATCAATCAATCAATAAAAAGTAACATTAATGGTGACATGCATATTGCACTGATTTAATAAGACACAATCTATAATAAGTCTAAATTAGCTACATGTTCTAATGTGGTACAAATGATCTGAATCTTTATGGTATTTCCAAAAGAACACTAGCTTCAGACAAATTCAGACGAGTATAATACATACACTTTGCAACTGTTTATAAATTCTACAGGGCTATTGACCTCATACCTGACTTGCAGAGAGCCTTATCAGACCAAAATACAACCAGTACTGAGATACAGAAGAAGAGACTCCTCATTATGGCAACAGACTCTGTAAATGCAGCAAGACAGAAATCTTGAATTATACCTGAATATTGAGCATCTTTTAGATTTGAAGATTTCATAGAATTTAAAGTAATGGTTTGGTTTGAGATACATGGATAATTACTTACATTCAAAGCATGAAAGTTCGCTGTATAAAATACTAACACACAAAAATCATTCTTACCGTATTCCAAAATTTCAACAGGGTAGTTAGAGGCCAGATTTGTCCTCAGAAAAAAACTATATTGGAAGACACATGAATCAAAAACCTTAATATGTCCTAACATCAATTGGTCTCTGCTTAGTCTTTAACCCAACAGGACAGCACAGCATGAACAGCCTTTAGTAAGTTAACTGAACTCCAAACCTTTCACTGAGCAAATAATAGTTGCTGAGATCAATCATATCAGGAATTTTGCGAGTACATTAATATCATCCATTAGGTAACACAGTGAGACAGTACTTCAGTTGCACTACTTAACTAACCCTCAATAATTATTAAAAATGTTTACTTACATTTTGAAAAATAAGAAAGGGACAGAAATGGAGAACGTGGTGTTTAGAGTGTGTTAATGACTAACCAACTCTGTTTACTAAGAGTCCACAGTCTGAATGCTCCTGCATTCTCATCTGCTGTCTGTCCACTTACACCTACTTGTGCTGAACTGTACAGCTTATAGTTAAATGACCAGACAATTACATTTGAGGTTTAATTACTTAAGATTGGTGAAAGATGTTCTTATGGCATTCAAAAAATAAATAGAATTCCATTTTAACTATTATACATAGTAATCATTTGAAGTGGATCAAAAACTTTCATCAAAGTTGTCCTAAAACCATGTTGATAGGTAATAGTACAAATTGCCCCACATTGATCTTTTTTCCTCAATATACGCATAGCTTACATTTTGATTAGCAAAAGCATTTAAACTCATCTCAATTTCTGCTGCATAATGGGCCACACGTTCTTGCACTCTCTTTTGCTAACATAGGAATACCTGCTATAATCTGCATACAACATAGCTATATGATATTGATAGTGAAATAAAAGCTGTCAGCACACACCTATTATTGGAGACATAAACGGCTTAGCAGCACAATGGGACACACATGCATGCAATGTACACACTGTACCAAGCAGCTTTACAGTAACTAATTTTACAGTGCAAACATAATCTGTGATATATGTTCCCATTAACTTATTTTTATTTTTAAAGGTTTGGTGTCTGTAAATCCAAACGGATCACCAGCAAAATTGTTCTGTAAGATGGTCAAACTCATTACTTAGATGTAAGATGGTTAAACTCAATAATTTACTCATTATTTAAATTATTTATTATTTAAAAAATTGTTTTTCACATTGCTTACATGTTTTCCAGAACTGCTCAACAGCAATACCTCCTTAGTGTTCAAATCTTATTTCCTGTTTCCTCCATCCTTTTTTATTTCCTCTCAGATGATAAGAATAATTGCAGGAGTTCTGGTCTCATCAGCCCTCTCATCTGGGATGATCCTCCTGAGAAGGGGGTTCCTAGTACCTCCATGCAGGCTCACCTGATAGTCCAATTCCTCCTGACTACTTTGAGGGTTCTGCTGCACATAACAACTACATACCTATATACTGTATGCCTATGATAATTATCCCATAGCAAAAGCAGCCAATCCCATGGCCAGAGGAGGTCCACTGATGCCATATGATGACTCATTAAAAGGACACCCTTTACCCACGTTTCCAATCCCGCCTGACAGATATCCCATTCTACTGAAACCTCCATCCAGGAACACGACTCAAGGATCTCGCACAGTGCCTACTGGACAACAACCAGACCTTTCGTATTGTAACCTGCTCCTTGATGCACCAGTGCCTCCACCCATGGATCAAATGCCCTGGTTCTGTGTTTACTCACAATGTAAAGGGGGTCCCAGTGTCCAAAGGGGGACAAAGGACACTAGGACACCAGTTCTTAGACACTCCCATTGTATACATATAATACCGCAGTAATTGCATAGTAGGTTTTCTTTTGTTTCCTTGTTATAGGTTTTCAGGAATAACAGGCTAGCCAGGATTTCAAGGTCGCCCAGGGTTTAATGGTCAGCAGGGACCAAAGGGTATAACTTTTATTCTAAAAACCCATTAAACCAACTCTTACTCACTCATCCAGTTTACTTAATACACTCTCAAAAATAAAAGTGCTTAAAAGGTTCTTCACAGCGATGCCATAGAAGAACCATTTTTGGTTCCACAAAAAACATTCAGTTAAAGGTTCTTTAAAGAACCATGCCATTCTTACCTTTTTATAATCTGAAGAGCCTTCTTTCGCCACAAAGAACCTTTTGTGAAACAGAAAGGTTCTACAGATGTTAAAGGTTCTTTATGGAACCATTTAGACAAAAAGGTTCTTCTATGGCAGTGCACTGTAAAAAAAAAAAAAAAATCCTAATTTGACAGAAAATAACTCTAAAATTTTTACAGTATTTATCTGTAATTTTAAATTATGTTTAAAACTATGTAAAATTACTAACAATATCTGTAAATTAACAACTTGACTGTTATTTTATGGATTATATTATTAATGACAAATTACAGTAATTCTCATTTTTTATACGGGAAAATTACTGTATTATTTATACAGTATTTTTCCTGTTTTCATAAATTACATACAAATTCATGTAAAATTACGAACAATATCTGTAAATTAACAACTTGACCATTATTTTAAGGATTATATCATTAATGACAAATTACAGTATTTCTACTTTTTTAATACAGGAAAATTGCCTTATTATTTATACAGTATATTTTCTGTTTTCTTAAATTACATACAAATTCATGTAAAATTACAAAAATAATCTGTAATTAAGGTTTATGTCCACACTAACAATTTAATGTTCTTTTTTGTAATTTTAAAGTAAATCTTATTAGTTTTATATTTAGCTGTATTTTTACATTCAAACTCTGTAATTTTATATAGAATAGAAATAGAATATATATAGAATAGAAAATCAGCCTTAAAATCCACATCATGTAACCGTGCAATAAAAAATTTAATGCATTAAAAATGTTTTATTTTTATAAAGAAAAAATCAACCAATAAAAGAGTGTGTATAAAGCATACAGTCAATAAGAGAAACGCAACATACAGACATGTGTAATCACAAGAATTTATTGCAGAAATGTCAAAAAGCAGTAGCACCAAATGTCCAAATGACGAAGCGTTGCAGTCGCAGTCCTCTCTGGCGGAATATAACAGTATAGTGTGAGGAGCAGGGCATAATTTAAGTTGTTAAACGCTGCAAATACTATCCCGATCCACTCCGTAAAGGCGCGCGTTTCTCATTTCAAAACACCGGAAACACGGCATGTCGCAATCTATGACGAAACCGGCGAGAGCCAATGAGCGTTTGATATCGCTGCCGTAAAACTTGTTGTAAAACAGCTTAATGGCAAATTTTGAAATTGTTACTATAGCTACAGAGGAAGGAGATATATATATAGCTGAATGGTTTGAATTTTGAATCTGTTCCTCACACAAAGCACCACACATATACCGAAGATCTGAATAAAAATAAAATACTTTTACGATCATGTTATTTAATGCTTGTGCATGACAACATATTAATAAATGTATGTGCCCCGTGGTAAACCAAATAAATACTGCATGATAATGGTTAAATGATCTCTCTCTCTCTCTCTCTATGTAAGGATTCTAAGATTATTTGTTCTGAGAATAATAATATATAAAATATAATAAATTTATAATTAAGTGCAGTTTATTGCAGTTGACTGATTTACTGATTTGCTTAATTTTGAAATTATATGTATGTTTCTGTTTTGACTTGCCATTTCAAAGATTACATTTAAACAATACTACACTTCATTAAAATTTCTGTGATTATTTAACCATTATCATGCAATATTTTATTTATCTTGTTTATCATGGGTCACATAATATGCTGTCAGATCACAAGCCTGATTTGGGCCACATAATCACTGGACTGATCTGGGCCACACTCCTCCCACCAGCAATCGGCCCTCATGTTTGCCGTGATCCATGCTGTACAATCCCCACACATGGCCCAGCTCTGGCTGAAACGGTACCTGCCACTGCCGACAGGAGGTCAGCAGTTCCAGTTTGAGGACACATTTGGGCCAAGATCGCTTGCTATGTGGGAAGGACAACAATGTTCATGATGGAACATTGCTCTAAGAGAGTCAACAAATATTAATATCTTGATTTGATCTTTTTTTAATGCAAGTTTGTACATTAGCATGAAACTTATATTTCCTAATACATTATAGTTTGCCTTTTTGACGAATCATTTTGTGAAATAAATAAACTAACCAGGTGTTTTCTTTATTTTGTACCGTACCATATTGTGATGGTTTTAATCAATCTAACCCAAAGGGTGTATTAAAAACAAATGAATAAATGTTGTGTTTGTGGTATACAGCCGCGGATCAGGAGCGAACTGCAAGCGCGTCCTGTGTGTAAGCACAATGAGTCCGTGCTGCTTCTGCACCGCATACGTAACGCACACGGACCGCATACGCACTGCAGACCGAGTATGTGTGAAACAGGCGTTAGTGTGAATTTTAATTTCAATTAAACGATCGCTGCACTGCTGCAGACGTACCGCACCTGGAACGCACTGACGGACCGCAACCGCGTGCAGTGTGAAAGCTCTAATCCGTTAACATGGGTGCGTAAAAAAAAAAACGCAACGCACACGCACTGCAGACGGAGTATGTGTGAAACAGGCGTGACCCCTTATTTACACTGCACACGTCTGCGGCGCGTTACGACTCCGACGCGGCTACCGGAACTGATCGCGGGCATTGTAGTCAATGCTTGTGTTTACACCAGACGCGCTGCGGCACGTTTCAAAAGCGTCCCAGAAGCGGCTCTCCGCACCGCTTCGCTAAAGATAGGCGCCTAGTCTATTTTGGACGGACGCCGCGTCCAAACCGCACAGCAAATACAAAATAAAAGTCAAAAAATAATGTCAATTTCAAAATAAACACCCTGTGCAGACTCCCGATCGTTTTCACGGTCACATATCTTTGGCAGGAGGCCAGAAATGGACGACGATGAGCGGTCTATCCTCGAAATACAAAAACACATGGTGTTATATGACATCCCAAATCCTTTTTACAAGGACAATGAGCAACCCAATAACATCTGACAGGCAAATCACGCGGTCTCGCAAATCCTACCTCTGCGCTTCTGATCCGCTTCTGGTGTGAGTTGGCACCGCGTGGAGGACGTAACAAAACCTCTTCGAAGCCGTAACGCGCCGCAGACGTGTGCAGTGTAAATAAGGGGTAAAACAGGCGTAAGCGCTCACTGCTGTTTGTTACCGGTATTTTAACGATAGGCGCCGATTCAAATAAAAGCGAACCGGGTGGAAGGCGGAAGGGTATGATAATGTGAATGTTTGTCGCAGTTTCACACATATTCAGTTTGCATGAGTATTTTCCCCAGTTAACAGGTGTAGAAGTTCTTAACTTTGGCCCGCTAGGTCCACTTTCCTGCAGTTTTAGCTCCAACCCTGATCAAACTGTTACTTTTGCCACTGGCTTCAAAATATAAACCTCATTGATGCAAAATAAAGTTTCAGAGGTACACATGAAAATGTATAAATGTTCATTTTGTGATGTTGAGAAGTTTCAACTCACGAAGTATCTAATCTCACCTGCAAGTGCAACATTAACATTAACACCAAGCAGATTTTTGTGTTACCTGTAACATTGAGAGATATTTTATATTACAGAGTGCAGTCTTCTAGGTAAATATATTGTACGTCTGTGGTATGTCTCTCTCTTATTTATCAATTATTTCTTCTTTGGAATATGAACTTTTTTTTTTTTATTATTTCTTACAGAGCAGCATATTGATGGGGAGACTCTGCTGGGTCTCACAGAAAGGATGGTGGAAAGACTTTTCCTGTAATGAAACATCTGGTGACATTTATAAAGGAGCTTAATTTTAAAAAGTGTTGTTAAATATTGAACATTGTTGTTAAATATAAAAAAAAATGTATGCCAACTAAGCTTAAAATCCTTATCTTAATTTATATTTTATTTTTCTTCAAACAGCCTGGAAACTGACGAGCCTCAGATATCTTGTACTCAGTATGTATCATTGTTTTGAAGTCCAAACAGACTGTATTGTGGCAAGTAAAATGAATATCCTGTATAAAAGACTTCAACATTGTAGACCAAGGATTTAGACCTTTTTATGTGATGGCCATTTAAATAATAGGGTTATGTCTGGTTTCAGAATTTGTAGTGGGTCAATAGGCTATATACAGAAAAAAAGAGGCCAAAATGGTAACTTTTGGGGTACAACAGCTTGTCACTGGAGCAGTACCCTTAAAAAGGACGTATTTTTGCCTTTTACCCCTAATAGGTAAATATTACCTTATGTGTACGAATTACTATAAGGTACTAGGGGTAAAATAGGTACAGAGATGTTCTTTTAAGGGTACTGCTCCAGTGACAATGTTGTATCCCAAAAGGTTCCATTTTGGCCTCTTTTTTTCTGTGTGGCCGGGATGAGTGTGAGATTTCCCAGCCTGAAATTGCGTCCCAGTCCGGCCCTGGAGTCATCTAAGTAAACTGAATATATTAAGAGAAATAAGCTGTTATTTTTTATGCCCATTTGTTTAGGGTAAGACATCTCCTTGTTAATGGGCCTATTACTTTTTGTTAATTCAATAAAAAGATGCCTCATGATGTGACTTTCATACATGTCACACAGTTAATGTTGTTTGAGTATGCTAATTTTCTTGAAGTCAATTAATAATATCTTGCTAACCCTTTTAAGCCCATTTTCTGAACAGGACAGTCAAATTTTTAGTAAACCTTTTGAAATATAGCCTAACCTTCCTGTATATATTAAAACAATGCACATAACATGTGAATATAGAATAATAATATAGCATGGACACTAGGTACATTTGTGCAGCATCAGCTAACATTATACTCTGGAAAATCCAAGAAAATTTGTGGATTATATGAGGGCACTGCCTGTGCTACCTCACTTTATCAACATATCATTGTGGAATAATTGCAAATTGTTTTGTAAGCATGCATGAGCAGATGCTTCTTTTTTAATTAATTTTATTTAATGTGTGTAATTGAGATAATTATTAAAAATTGTATTAAACTATTAGTTAAATTTTTGTTTACGTAATGTATGAGTGACAGAGGATTAAAGCCCAATGTGCTTTATCTGCAAGGTAGACAGTAATATTAACAAATTTCTAGTGTATTAGCTAGCTACTCAGCTGCAGTTGATTAAAGCTAACACTAGTAGTAGAACAAAAGTGTCATGATGAGCAACAGCAAGCAAGCTAACTATTGTTAGTACTGTTATAAATAAAATATTTACAGATTTATCTTTAATCATTGTAAGTAGAGAATATATTAAAGATATTTTTGATATGATATCTAATTCTCCTAACTTTTAGGGCAATCAGTTGACAATCAATCTCACTTGAGAAATTGTGATATTACATATCTTTATTGAGATTTATATAAAAATGACCTATTTAATAACTTTGATCTGTATAGGACAATATAAAATATATGTATATGAAAAGTATGAATGAAAATACATTTGCCTTTGCACCTTGCTGAGTCTGTAATGTAAAAACATTCATATGGATTCACTTGGAAAACAGATCCACTTCCAGAAACTGAATCTGTATCAATACTGTTATTTTATCAATTAACAAAAGATCAAGAACTTATGTCCAAACCTTTGTACTGCTTGCAAAATAGTATTTAACTTCCTTATCATGTGTTCATAAACTGAACATACTGCGACAGTTTTGGATACTATATATGTAGATCAGTGGTGTGCAGTGGTGTTCTGAAATGAAGCAAAAAGTTTTTTTTTTAAATCAAATGTAAATTCATGTCCTAGTCACATTTTCTTAGTTAAATAAACATTACTTACACTATCAGAATTTTTTTTTCTATATTTTTACATTAACAATGCAATGAAAATTCTGTTTATTAAAGCCATGTATGAATCTCATCAAGTTAGTGTTTTTAGGCATTTTACATTTATTCCAAAATAATAACTCAAGGCAGTAACAATTTAAGCAATATATTTTATTCCTCTGAAAAAGCTGTGCCAGCTGAGTCAGCCGGCTGCTCTCCAAACGCTATCACGGTACTTTGATGCCACAGGTGACAGTGATGTGGCGTCGTCGGTAAATTTCTAACCGGCATGCACTGCTTCAAGTCAACCGCCGATCGGTCTGCGCAGTGCTGCATGAAGTCGAACGCACCTATTGCCTCCTCTCAGGTGAATTTCCCCCATTAATTCTCCCCCACTTAAACACATGGCACGCTATAGGACCTCTGATGTAGGGGGGGTCAGATAGTAGCCTACGCATAACATGGAGATTTACTTGTAAATATTAAGATGCATTTCTATAGCCGACTGATTTTAAAATGTAATTTTGGCAGCCCCTGTAATGGGTTGTATTGACATTACCTGAGCTGTTAAAGAATACACTACAGCGCTCATTCAAAGACGTGCAATCATTGCTTGGACGGAGCAAGAACACTTAAAATGCATGCGTAGATTCAGTCGAGTGATGAAGTTCTTCAACTTAATGCTGTTGAACTGAATTTATGGAGCAAACTAGTCTATTTGCTAAAATAACCATAACATAAACAGCAACGCTGTAATACAAGCGCGCGGTTTTGTCAGTCAGATGACCGTGAAAGTTGCATGTTATTATAACAAACACTGGCTGTTTTCTTTCAGAATCATCACTGGCTAGTAGAAAGACAAAAATAGGTTAGCCTACATAAAAGTTTTTACCTAAAAATAAGTAAAGGTGTGAATAATTACATTTTAAGCACTGTCAGTAATTTCACCAATGAAAATAAAGTCCTAGGAGAACTGTTGTGCATCGCTAATCAACACACAGCGGTGTTTCATTAATGAATCCACGTTTTTGAATGAATCAGCCATTTGAATGAATCAATTGAATAAATGACAGGGATTTGCCAGCACCTATTGGCGCTTTTAGTTTTATATTTAGAGTATGTTTCTTTTTAAAAATAAATTCATATTTCACTATTTATTTGTATTTTTGTATGTGGAATTGAAATATTTCTTTCTAAAGCTACTTATATTTCAGCTACTTTTTTGTAATGTCTATTCAGTGTTTTTTTTCTAAATTATCACAATGATGACTATTATCTTTAACAATAACTTTATCTTTAATAGGCACATGATGCGCATGTTAATTCATTAATCTCATTAATTTGAGATTGATTTGATTAATTAATTGGCATTTCAGCTACTTTTTTGTAATGTCTATTCAGTGTTTTTTTTCTAAATTATCACAATGACTATTATCTTTAACAATAACTTTATCTTTAATAGGCACATGATGCGCATGTTAATTCATTAATCTCATTAATTTGAGATTGATTTGATTAATTAATTGGCACATTATGTAATTAATTAGATTTTTTTTTTTTAAATCGCTTGACAGCCCTATTTAAAACATAAGACATAAAAAAAGCTTAATTGATATGCAGGGCCATCGGTAACAGGGAGAAAGGTGGTGACGATTTCAACCGCAGGCCCTTCTGAATCCAAGATTAAAGAAATAATATTTACCTGGATCCCATAATTCTATGAAAGAGAAGAACAAAATATTAGGATGTATATATTAGGCATGTATGGTTTTATGCTATATACTGTAGTAGTATATTGTGTCATGGGATGCTAACCCTCCAACAATAAGCTTCACAACAATTCTGTAAGACACCAAGATCCCCAAAACTTCCTTCAGAACACCTTCTTTGATGCTGCAATAAAGCATTTGAACATTGTAAACATTGTTGTTTAAGCAGGCCTATACAAACATTCTATAATGTACACAAAGCCCAGTAAACTAAAACAGCTCTCATTATATACACGCCAATGTTTTCCATGGGGACTCACATGCTTGAAGAGGCTAAATTGGTGTCTTCATGCTTCAATTTTCCATCCAGTGCAATGCCTAGCCTTTCTCGGTTATTGGCCAGTAGGGGGAGCAAAGTGTAGACTTTATCCAGTTTGGCACCAGAATCAACAGAGTCCTTGCACCAAATAGCAAACTTTAATCAGATTAACATTCTTTTTTTTTTTTTATTGAATTACATCAAAATTTCTGAATAAAACTATTACCCAGAGTCCTCTGTGGCCACTGCCTTCATATAACTGTCATTGGAGTACAGCACCACATTGGCAATTTGTTCCACTAAAAGACAGACATCCACAAGTGTGTTATTTTATATTTAAAGCAATCCACTTAAAGTATGACTTTAATAGACCAACATTTTTTCAATAAATTAGTTCATTCAGATTTCAATCAGATAATGCAGATAATCTATAAATTTACATTATTACATACACAGTCACACACACATGCAACTCTACTGACATGTTTTGAATTGGGGTAGGGGTAAAAAATATTAGGGTAGAACAACCATGCTGATATCATTAAAGGGGTCATATGATGCTATTTTAAAGATCATTATTTTGTGTATTTGGTGTAACAGAATATGCTGACATGCTTTAATGTTCAAAAAACACATTATTTTTCAAATACTGTACATTATTGTAGGTCCTCTATGCCCCGCCTCTCTCAAACACGTAGTTTTCAACAAAGCCCCCTCCTTTGACAAGCGCAGTCTGTTCTGATTGGCCAGCTGACCCAGTGCATTGTGATTGGCCGAACACCACAAGCACGCGTCGGAAATGTAACGCCCCCTACCATAATCTTGAGCTTCAGCTTTCAAAGTAAATATCAAGACAGTTAATAATGTCGTTAGTTTTACCATCAGTTCAAGCCCGAAAGGGTAACAGAGTCGCATGACAGACACAGTGATGATGCAGTACACAAGCGGCAGTTAAAACAGCTGAAATCTGTCTTTCGCACTGACATGGCTGCATCAACACTACTGCTGTTCCTGAAACCACGCCTTCTTTCTTTGCGTGCACATTTGGGCCGCATTATGCAAATATTTCCACATAGTGAGGTAGATATGTGGGGGCGTGTTAGAACGAGCCGTTTTAGGGGGGCGCTGCGCAAAACTCCGCATTTGAACTGAAACTAACAAATACTTAAAACTAATAACAAAACATACTTACAGTCGCTGATTCAGAAGCACCAGATTGTCATAGCAAAGTCGGAATTGACCCTTTTTTTATTTTTTTTTAGAAATTTGTGTACAGCCAGCCTTGTACTCTTCTAGGTTCAAAAAACTGTCGTCCATAAAATGCGTTGCACAAATTCGAACATCTGGGTTGTGCTGTTCTGTTGTAAATAAATCTTAACCAATGATTCCTAATTGCATCTACATCCAGAAGGCCAAATAAAGTGCTTTTGCACTGAAACACA